CCCGCGGAGCCTGCACGTCCGGAGCCTGTGCTCCGCAACGGGAGAGGCTGCAGCAGTGAGAAGCCCGCGTATCACAAAAAAAAAAAAAAAAAAAAAAAAAAAAGGGGGGGGGAAGTATTTAATCAAATAGACGTGTCACCAAAGAAGATATACAGATGGCAAATAAGCACATGAAAAGATGATCAACATTATTAGTCACCAGGGAAGATACAAATTAAAACTACAATGAATATCAAATCATTATGCTGTACACCTGAAACTAATATAATGTTCTATGTCAATTATACCTCCATTAAAATATTAAATAAGTAAAATTAAAAAGTGCTGATATGGGGAAAAAAACTACAATGAGATACAATGACACACCCTTTAGATGGCTAAAATTTAAAAGCTGCCCATTCCAAGTGCTGGCCAGGATGTGGAGGAACCAAACTCTAATACACTGCCAGTGGGAATGTAAATGGTAATGTAAATGTAATGTAAATGGTAACCACTTTGAAAAAAGTTTGGCAATTGCTGAAAGAGTTAAATATATATCTGCTATGTGATCCAACCATACCACTGATAGGTATTTACCAAAGAGGAATGAAAGTATACATCCATACAAACACTTGTACATGAACATTCAGAGCAGCTTTATTTGTGAAGCCAAATTCTGAAACAACCCAAACATCCATCAATAGGTGGATGGATAAATAAACAGTGGCACATCCATAAAATGGAATATTACTAATCAATAAAAAGTAAGGAACTATATGACACACACTACAACATGGATGAATTTCAACATAATTTTGCTGAGCATAAGAAGCCACACATAAAAGTCCATTTACATAAAATTCTAGGACATGCAAACTAATGTATAGTAACAGAAAGCAGAAGAGTGTTTGCCTGGCAACAAGGAAGGGATTATAAAGGGCATGAGGAGCCATCAAAAGGGGTGATAGATATGTTCATTATCTTGATTGTGGTGATGGTTTCACGAGTGTATACACGTGTCAAAACATCAAATTGTACACTTAGATATATGCAATTTGTTGCATGTCATTTATACCTCAATACAGCTGGGTTAAAATAATAAAATAGACCTATGATATGAAAAATAATAATAAATAATCCCCAATTATGTGTGTTACATTCATAATCTGCTTTTTAGGTGGCACACATTTCTTTTCCATAATAGGTAAGGGAAGGCTGGAGGAGAGGAGGAATTACTCCATTTCAAACTGTCATCTTTACCACTTGCTGCTTTGGCTATACCCACGCTTCCTGGCTTCTAAACTAACAAGCTGGACAATGTAGGGTCTATTACTACCCAGCCCCTACCCCACTCCCAGCCCCCAGTCTTTGTCTCCTAAAAGAAGCAGATCCTTACTTGTCTGGAAGAGCAGACACAAGGAACAAAAGGCTCAATGACTATTTGACAGATTAAATAGACAACTGTTTTATTTAAAAGCTCCCTAAGGAATTAGAACATTTGAGGCTATACACTGTTCTGCTGAAATGCAATTATATATTACCCAGATCTGTAAGCACTTGCCAACAGACCTGTCCAAATCACTCACTTCCCAAGTTTTCAGTTTTCTTCTCTCTCTTTTCATTCCATGAATGAATAATGTGCAGGTATTTCTGAGAAGACATTCCTAATATTTTGAAAAGTCTCTCATTCAAATAACTCCAACAGCTTGAAACAGTTTCTCAATGTCTAAGACAGTGACCATAACAGGACAATGAAGTCTAAACAATGGGTCTTATATATGAATCATATATAAAGAGTGGAAATACAAAATAGCAGGATCATTATCTGAAAACAGTAGATCACACTACTGTTTAACAACAAAATTAAGGCTTACAAATTATTGGCAATACTTATAAAATAATAGTAAACTGGTAATTAACAAGAGGGTTCTGGCTCCATCATTTATTGATTGAGTCACCTTAGGCAAGTTGCCTAACTTCTTTTTTTTTTAATTTATTTATTTTATTTATTTATTTTTGGCTGCATTGGGTCTTCGTTGCTGCGCACGGTCTTTCTCTAGTTGCGGGGACCGGGGACTACTCTTTGCTGTGGTACGTGGGCTTCTCTTGTTGCAAAGCACAGGCTCTAGGCATGCAGGCTTCAGTAGTTGTGGCTCATGGGCTCAGTAGTTGTGGCTTGCAGGCTCTAGAGCACAAGCTCAGTAGTTGTGGCGCAAGGGCTTAGTTGCTCCGGGTCATGTGGGATCTTCCCCAACCAGAGCTCGAACCCCGAAACCATGTCCCCTGCATTGGCAGGTGGATTCTTAACCACTGTGTCACCAGGGAAGCCCAGGTTGCCTAACTTCTGAAACTCACTTTACTCATCTTTAGAACGGGGATAACAATACCTACCTCATAGAGTTATAGCAAGGATTAAACTTGTTTGGCATACACTAAAAGCTAAATAAACGTTAGCTATTAGTAGTATGATTACCCTGAGCTTTCAAAGGATCTCATTAATTCACTAACCTTCCTTCTGACTCTTAGGTTCAAATCCTATCATTTACTAGCATGTTTCTTCTGAGCCTCAGTTTCCACATCCATAAAACGGGGGTGATTAATGTTACCTGACTTTTAAGGTTGTGAAGGATTAAATAACTAGACATACAGCTCCCTTCCCTTCCATCTCCCAAAGCAAAGATCGCAGAGGAAGGAAATACTTCTAATAGCTGCAGATACAGTCAGTTTTTCCATTTCTGGCACGTGAGGGGTGGGGGGGAAAGGAGATGCAAAGAGGTATATAAAGGGGTCAGGGATCCTGAGTAAAGGCCCTAAATGCGCGCTAGAGGCAGAGGGACCCAGAGCGG